TTGCCATTAATAGTATTCCACCATCTACTTTGTTATTCAGAATCACAAGTAAACAATAAAGCAAAATACTACGTAAATTTTTACATTTTCTCTTGATTAAATCAACAAATTCATTAATCAACAATGAGGAAGAAGAAAATTTGATGTTGAATAGAGATAGCAAGGATGGCGTGAATTGATCGAAAAAAACCATAGAGCCCGTTTGGAGAACTCTGTTTTCGGCTTATCAGGCTTATCAGCCAGCTTTTTCACCAAACACGTAACTTTTACTTTCGCGCGCTGAATTGTGTAATAAGCCGAAAAAGTAAGGTTGGAGTTACTTTTCTGGCTGTATTGGCTGAAGTTACCGTAGAGGACCATTTTAGCTATTTTTACATATAATTTTTTCTTTAATTTATTAATAAAATATATTTTTAAAATATTTTTTTCGTAAATCAGCAGAATCAGCCAAAACAGCCACTTCAGCCAGAATATCATAAATTTCAGCAGAATCAGCCAAAACAGCCGATTTTGGTGCTACCAAACGGGCTCATAGTGTAAAAAAGAACAAATTTTTCTTTTTAGAAGTAACCGTAGTTTGGACTGATTTTTAGTTTCAATCAGATCTGGCAACTTGAGATGGTGGTAGGGTTAGCAAAGCTTCAAAGATAACAAGGATGTTTTTACTTGACTGTTATCAGCTGGTCTAGTATGGTCTGACCTGGTTTGTCTAAGTCTGGTATAGTCTGACCTGGTCTAACTATGAAAGTCTAGTCTGGTCTGGTCTGTTTAAGCCTGGTCTGATTTGGTCTAGTCTGGAATTGAAAACAATCCAAATAAAAACATCTGAAGTCTGCAACAGGGATGATGTTGGAACAACAACGTGGATATAACAAGAATTTCATTTTTATTTAATTAATTAATTTTAATTAGGGGTTGTGTTTAGTAAAATTATGGTTGCATTAGAAATACTCAAATACCCAAAGTTAAATCCAACTTGATTCCTTAGTTATTTTTACATTAAACCCTATATTGGTGGGCGGAAATATGAACTCTCGAAAATACTGCGGTTAACAAGTAATCCTCACTGGCACGACAGTATTAATTGACAGTATAGGGACTGTCTTGCAAACTTATACCCCGCTTGGCTATAGGCTGGCGGCCCTGCTTAAACCCTATTAAAACCGAAATATTGCTTCAAGTCTCCAGTTTCCAGTTCACACACCCATGGCTTTGTACCTGTTGTTTGAGTCCGCCTCCGGCTATGGGCTGTTCCTGGCAAATGGACTCGATGAAATTGGTCAGAATACGGAGGCGATTCGGAAGTCAGTCCTCGACCTCAACAGGTTCGGCAAAGTTGTGAAACTCATCGCGTTTAACCCATTCGATTCTGCCCTCGATGCTCTGAATCAGTGCAACGCTGTTTCCGAAGGTCTGTATATCTCCGAAATCCATTTTTATGCAGTATAGTTGGATGTTTGTCAGCTGCATGCGCAGACTACTTCGATTTAGTTTCAATTATGCACATTCACGCGTCAAATTGATACGTTGATCAATATATTTTAGCAAAATGTGTTTTTTGCGGTGTTGGATAATTCCTTGCGGGATTTATTTAAGCTTAATAGTTTGTCTTTTGCCCAAAAGCTAATTTACTGCGTTTTTATGAATGTGTTTAGGGCAAATGACTGATGAGTTGAGGAATTTCTTGGAGCTTACACTCCCTAAAGTTAAGGAGGGAAAGAAGCCTAAGTTCAAACTAGGACTTGCAGAGCCTAAGCTTGGTTCTCATATCGTTGAAGTAACTAAGATTCCTTGCGAAAGCAATGAGTTTGTTCTAGAGCTTCTGCGTGGTGTTAGGCTGCATTTTGAGAAGTTTATTGGGAATCTCAAGGTTTGCATTTCATTACATCTTCATTTATCTGGTTACTTCTCCAGTGTCCTGCAATGTTTAAGCTCTACTCGTTTGCAATCTTGTAATGGGTATACAGTCAGGTGATATTGAGAAGGCCCAGCTGGGGTTAGGTCACAGTTATAGCAGAGCAAAGGTCAAGTTCAATGTTAACCGTGTTGACAATATGGTTATTCAAGCAATATTCTTACTTGATACTCTTGATAAAGATATCAACACATTTTCAATGAGAGTCAGGTATATATACTGTCTGCCTTCCAGCAAAACTATATGCATGCTTTCTCATATGTTTTCATCTATTAAGTCTTGATCTTAAATTTCAATCTCTACTACAGAGAGTGGTACTCATGGCACTTCCCAGAACTTGTGAAGATTATCAATGACAACTATTTATACGCCAAACTTGCAAAGTTCATCGAGGACAAGTCACAACTATCTGATGAGAGCTTGCCGGACTTAACAGAAATAGTCGGGGATGAAGATAAAGCCAAAGAAATAGTAGTCGCTGCCAAAGCTTCCATGGGTAAAAATATATTTGAAATTACCTTTACTCAACTCCAATTTTGACTCCTTTTATCTGTATCTTGTTTCTTTCTTTTTCAGGCCAAGATTTGTCTCCTGTCGACCTGATCAATGTCAAACAACTTGCACATAGAGTAATGGATCTAGCTGAGTATAGGAAGAATCTCTATAATTATTTGGTTTCTAAGATGAATGACATAGCACCAAACTTGGCTGCATTGATTGGTGATGTTGTTGGGGCCCGTTTAATCTCTCATGCTGGTAGCCTGACAAACTTGGCTAAATGTCCATCATCCACTCTCCAAATACTTGGAGCTGAGAAGGCTCTCTTCAGGTCTTGTACTCCTGATCTCCCTTCTGCATGTAGATTATGTTTTTTTATTTAAATTTTCAATGATGTTTGATTGGATGACTGTTGATGCTTTCTCAATCTCTGTTGACTTTTTGAATAGAATTTAGTTTGTTTCCATATGGTATTGGATCCCAAAAAATGCTGGGAAAAGGGGAAACATGCCAAGGAAAGTGAAATATTTTTAATGTTATCAAGTTTTATTTATAGATGTTTTGATATCCTAGTCCTTTTTACAATAGAAATGAATAAATGAGATGAGTTGAACAAAAATCACAAATTAGTTTAGTGTGTTTGAACCATTGTTTTTCCTATAATCTTTGTTCCCAAAAAATCCCCTATATTTCATATAGATTTTCATATTTTAGGGTTTTCCGAGTTCCAATCAGAGCATTAATTATTTTAAGTTTCTAAGTTTAATACTCCCTTATGAGTGCAGAGCATTGAAGACTAAAGGAAACACGCCCAAGTATGGGCTCATATTTCATTCTTCTTTCATTGGCCGTGCTGGTGCTAAGAACAAAGGGCGAATGGCTCGTTATCTTGCAAACAAATGCTCTATTGCTTCACGCCTTGACTGTTTCCTAGGTGTGCCTTAAGATTCCATTAGAGTCATTAGACAAAAACAGTTTTTTTGTGTGTATTTATTTCTTCAAATCAAGGTGTTAATCTTGTGTGCACACAGATAGCAGCACTAATAAATTTGGGGAGAAACTTCGTGAGCAAGTTGAAGAGAGACTTGATTTCTACGATAAAGGAGTGGCACCACGCAAAAACTTGGATATGATGAAAGCTGTAATTGGAAGCCTTGAAAATGAAGGTATGCTGTTTGATGCTTTTGACATCCTTGATATGTGAATTTTTCCAAAATAAATAAGATTATTAAACTGATGAAAATGATAGACATGTAAATCATTTGTCATTTCTTAAACTCTTCATGAGCACTTCTGTGGTCTGTTTTATTGTTGCTATATGTCATTTATTCTTTTTCCCAGAAACTGCCAGAATAAAATCAGATGATATTCTAATATCTGCTGTAACTGATATTGTTCTTCTTAATTTGTAGACGCCGCTATGGATGTAGACAAAACGCCAACTGAACCATCATCAGCAAAGAAAAGCAAGAAAAAGAAATCCAAGGGTGAGGATGAGCAACAAATGGAAGAAGATGAACCCGCTGAAAAAAACGGTATTGACTCTGAAGAACCAAAGAAGAAGAAAAAGAAGGAAAAACGGAAGGCAGAAGAGCAGAAAAGTGTGGATGAAGAAAATGCAAATGGCATAAATAAGGTTGATGCCGTGAATGGGTCAACAAAGAAGAAGAAAAAGAAGAGCAAGGGTGAGGATGAAGATTTTAAAACACCTGTTGCTGGAAGTAAAAAGAAAAAGAAGTCCAAGGTTGAAGATGATGAATGAGTGGATATTATTCCCATCAGCAGCAGTAGGAGGCTAGCTTGTTTTGTGGTCTTCCTTTAATGTCATATTTTGAACTTTTGAGTGGCTGTACCTGTAAGCCAGTTTTTGTTTGTTTGACCTTGGGAGTAGTTATATTTCTTCTACTAGATATCTTTTCTGTAGCTTTTGTTTCTGCTCTTATAGACTTCTATATTTATTTCCGTTTTTTACTATCTCCTTTTCCATAAAAATTCCACAAAAATCACTAGTGCATATATATTTGAACATTTTTTCCGCTTAAAGTAATCTCATAATCTGATTGTTGTGAGAGTAAACATAATTGTATTTCTAGTACTCAGTCCTCACTCAGTCCTCACATGATAGTGATGAGAGGATATTTTGGCATTTGTTTTGTTATTTTGATATTTAATTAATTCTTTGACCAAGATCTAGTGATGGACTTGGGTCGGTTAGGTCCTGGTTCTGGGTTGAGGCCTGCCGGTCCAAAGAATATTTTGTTTTGCTGGACCGAAGCCTAAAAAATTGGATTGAGATTGAAACTGGGACCGGAACTGTTTGGTTTGGTCTCCAAAACTGTGAACCATGATTGGGATGGCTTGGTACCCCGTCTTCACCTAGGACTGTTTTTGGACCTGATCTGGTCTCACACAGTAACTGGCCTTGTTCTTGAGTGGTCTGGGACTGCCAACTAGGTCCACCCCTACCAAGATCCGTTGGGACTTCTGACTGATAGTTTTATTTCTCTAACAATCATGACAGTCGGACTTGAGGCTCTATTTTTCAGGACCCAAATGCCTAAAGGAAGTGAAAGAATTCAAATGGGCTAAATTTTCATGCCTGAAGAAAACCACTAATTTTTTACTCTGTAGTTTAGAGATATTTATTTCATTTACATATCTTTACACATACACTCCGGCACAGGATAAGCCAGCACGTCCCGATCCACCTTATTAGTTCTCTGCTCTGGCTGCCCTTGACATTTCTTGTGCAGTTTCTTCATGACATGACTGAACTCTTCTTCTGAGATGAAGGGATCATCCAGGACTGGGAACATCATTCTCTTGTTCGGCTTTATATACTTTCTATGTCCTATGTATGCCCGATGTCCCTGCCAAAATACCAACAGGCTTAATACTTGCTAGGGTCAGTTTGAAATCAGCAAATTGTTAGGGAAAAAATAGAGATGAAAAAAGATGGAAGTAAGGAAGAAAGCAATAACCAGAAGAAAGAAAGCAACTAAGAAAACAAGGAGGTAAAAGTCAAGGAAGAATCCATTTTCCCTTATTTACTTTGGGAAAATCTCTTCTTTCTCTCCAATTTAGAACTGTTCACCACTCTTTATAAAATCCACCTTTTCATCTTACCTCTGAAATGCGTTACCTATACAACTATATTTGATAATTTGAGTCTTTGTCATGCAGGTTGAATCCTTATTTTATTGCATTATAGCATTAAAAAAATCAAGTTTGTTTACCCTCACTTTCTTAGTCTTTTTATTCCAGTCCAAATTTAAGATGTGAATATGAAAAGCCCTCTTCTTATTTGCCTCTAATCTTATTGAAAATTATCAAACACACACTACCATCCGTGGCGGATACAAAGGAGAGAATGTAGGGACTGTCCCTATAAATTTTTTCTACTAAATATATTTACTTCAGAATTTAAATATATAAGTATGTATTTTTTTACATTACCGCCCCTCTTAGTCTCTTAACGGGAATGCTTGCATTCACTATTGACTATCATGTCCAAAAACATATAAGCAATAGAAAAATTAAACCCATTTCATGCTTCTTTTGCATTTTTAGAGACAAAACCAAACATAAAGAAACATCTTAACACTCTTTTATCTCCATTCATGTGTTTATTTATTTATTTATTTATTTATTTATTTATTTATTTATTTATTTATTTATTTATTTATTTATTTATTTATTTATTTATTTATTTATTTATTTATTTATTTATTTATTTATTTATTTATTTATTTATTTATTTATTTATTTACCTCAAGAGCTCGGCCCATGTTCCCGCCATGGGAAGTGACCAGAACGTCACTGCTAAGTGAAACGACGTAGTCAATAGCAGCAAAAACCGAAGCTTTGTCCACGTAAGGCGCCAGCTCTCCTTCCCGAGCCAACCCGTGCTTACTCATCAGGTTCGGGAACTCTTCCCTCAACCCATCCAGCGCCCGGGGCCCACCAAACGGCTCTCCGCCGGCGACGTAAACCCTCGCGTCCCGCGGCGCACCCAACGCCTTGAGCAGCCTCGCAATCTCCCCGGCGTTCAACGGACACATCCCGGCGGCTCTCCTGACGGCGTTTGTGACGTTTTTCATCTTTCTCGTCTGGAGATCCGGGTGGGATTCCCGTTCTCTGCGGATGATTCCGTCGAGCTGTTCGCCCAAGCCGGTGGCGCAGCCGCTCCTCATCCACACGTCCTTTTCCAGCCGGAGGTGGACGGCGATGTACGGCCCTTCTATCCACATCCTCCTCGCGAACCGGTGGCTGAGGTCGTGAATCGGGGCGGCGAATCTCAGCGCGTGGAATGCAACCTTGCAGCGAAGCTTCTGGAGATCCGGCGGAAGATTCTTCGAGAGCCTCGAATCTAGGCCTTTCAGTATTAGCAGTCCTTCTTCATTCAGCTAAACAGAATTAAACACCACTAATCAGATTAACCCTTTGCCTGGAAACATCAATTAATCAATATAATTGCTCTGTTTCAGTGAGTGATTCGGGTTCTCACCTGTTTGAAGAATTTGGCGCGTAACCAGAGAGGAGAAACATGAAATGGAATCCGAGTTTCAACCCTTTGCCTGGAAACCAAATGTGAGGATGGCAATGAAGAAACAACTCGGACGTCAGATTTCAAGACGTTCTTGAAATGTTCCACGTCAAAAATCTCTGAGAATTCACTGCAAAAAGCCAAAATCATTATTTATTTTCATTTCCTAGAGTAAAAAACGAAGAGAAATCAAGTTTTTCTCATCAAAGATTATACCTTTCGTCCCTCCAGATGCGGTTGACTTGAAGAACAGGGACGACCAGGGCGGCTTCAAGAATCCGGGCGATGACAACCGCATCCACGATTTCATTCCGCTGCTGGTTCAGTCCGCCGGAAACCACCACCACCAAGAACCTCCTCTTCTCATTTGAAATCGCCGCCGACGCTTTCCGGTACTGGGGGCTGAAATGCAGGCAGGGACGAAACCCTTCATCATCTGGCTGGCGCCAGAACTCCCTCTCCTCGTCGGAGATGTTTCCGGCCACCACCCGTTTAGGAGGGAGTGGATCCATTGCGTCCGCGGACATGGACAGGTGGCTCTGATCGGGGAACAGAACAGTAGCGTAAGAAGGAATGGCAGAGCAGGGGAGGGAGTTACGCCATAGGGTAGCGAAAGTGAGGAAGCAAATGGAAAAGAAAGTGGAGGAGATCAGGAAGAAGACGAAGATCATGGAGAGGTAGTGGGATCTTCTTGAAGATGAATTAGTCGCTGAGAGCTTCTTGGGAGTGAATTGCAGCGAATGGAAGGGGAAACTGGTGAGCAGATTGGAGAAGAAAGATGGGTTTAAAGCAATGAAGGACGGGTGCTTGATGGTTTTGGTTCGAATCGCCATTATCAATGACTGAGGAAAACAAGAAAATTAACAGAGAGCTTTCTTTTCAAAGTAAAGCTTTCGACTTGGCCGGCGGGAGATAGGGAATTTATGAAACTTGAACAAAAACTAGAGGATGATGATTGATGAAATGTCTTTTAACTCAACTGTAAACTGTAAAGTTCTTTTTCACGATCCTAGCGGGCCTGAGCCTAAGAGGGATGATATGGCGGCTTAGAGTGAAAAGGATAAAATAGATTCCAAAATGGGAGTACTTTTATGGGTTTTTTTTTCTTCAAAAAAGTAAAAATCATTTACACAAATATTAATAATAGTTATGATTCCATTATTACTATGGTCACTAGCTACATTTTTGTAAATAAATTTTATTTTAGTCATAAATATGTAATTATTTCATTTTTTTGTTCGTTGTCATATTTTAATATTATCTAAGTTTGAATCGTTTGATCATAAAAATATTCTCATAGTAATTAGCTTATTAGGTAAAAATTATGGTAGTCCTAATTTCGAATTCCAATTCTTCTTATCACTATTTCGGGAATTTTTCCATAAAATTATCATTATTTTTGTCTTAAATATGACTAAAATATAAAGACAAAATGTATCAATACGATATCAATGTTGGAAAATCAGTTTGAATTAGCTATATGACCATGAGTTGAGGGCTTGATTGTATTAGAAATAGTCCGGCTAGTATTAAGATACTAGCCGGAAGCCCGGAATGTTAAAATAAGATTATGCTAGATTGCTAGAAATGATCCTAAGGTTGGATTGTGAGATGTTGTACCTTAAGTACTGTTAAGAGATACTTTAAGGTGGAAATTTATGAACTCTAAGTTATACTAAGGGTAAGCCTTAAAGGCTTCCCAAGATAAATTGATTTTTGAATTGATACTAGATATAGGATTGACCTACGGGTGTTTTGGTAGATAGTCCTTGAGGATAGCCGTAGTGAAGTATGGTAAAAAGTAAGGACCATGGACCTTCCCGACTCTAGAGAGCGTGCTGGATATCATGGACTTACATCATGATCACGTGTAGGGGTGAAATCCAAAACGGAGATCTTATGAGACTCCCGATAGCGATAATAACACTGATATGACCCTGAATGGATCTCACTCGTCTACTTTATCATTTCGATTAACGTTCTCTATTCCCAAAGTTACCAATATTATTACCACTCGGTTGGTTGCAGATGAGGATCACTTGCCTTTGCGTACTCAGTTTAAATCATTTTGGTGTCTCATGATCTCGCAAGAGTTTTTTTTTGTTCTATTGCAGCACCCTCGCCCATTATATATTACGCAGTATTATAGTTCTATCTCACTAGTTTGCCATGAAAGACTTAGGTGATGTGCATCATTTCCTTGGTATTCAATCCACCCGTACGTCCAAAGGTCTATTTTTGTCTTAACATAAATATGTCATTGATCTCCTTCATTGGTTTCCCCTTCATACAGTTAATCTTGTACGTACCCCACTCCCCTCACGCACCACTGTATCTCTCACGGATGAGGATCTTTTCAGTGATGTTAGTGACTGACGCAGTATGGTAGGTGCACTACACTACAATACTTGAATATTACTCGACCTGATATTACTTATGTCATACACTTCGTTTCTCAGTTTATGCATGCCCCACGTACCACTCACTTAGCCACTGTCAAAAGAATTTACGGGAATTTGTAGGGCACATCTTCACATGGTCTGTGGCTTCGCTCGAGACAAAGTATTTCGCTTGTTGTGGCTTATTTTGTTGCTGACTGAACTGGCTATCCTGACAGTTGTCGTTCTACTACATGCTATGCTATTTTTATCGGTGTTGGGGGCCCTCAGGGATGGGGTGTCATCCTTTTTTTTTGCAGAAATCTTATTTTATGGAGATAAAAGAAGCAGCCCATTGTCTCTAAATCTTCCACCGAAGCTGAATACATGAAGATGAATACATGGCTGTGGCATGGCCTATACGGTTCAAGATATCCTGTTTATTTGTTCACTGCTAGTCAATATGGGCATTGTACATCCCGCTCCGATCAAGTTATTTTGTGACAATGTTTTGCTTCCTACCTTGCAGTTAATCTCATTCAACATGATCGTAATAAACACATCAAGATCGACAATCACTTTGTTTGTGAATGCGTGGATCATGGGGATTTGGTTGTTAAGTATATCCCACTCAATTACAGTTAACAAATACTTTTACTAAAAATTTGTCAAGTATGCATTTTGAGTTTTTAGGATCCAATCTGCACGAGTTTCCCCTGCACAGAATGAGGGGGTGAAGGTGTAATCATGTATTATTATGTTAAGGATACTTGTGTAATATCTTTATTGTTTATTACTACATCCGTTCCACTAACATTGTGATATGAGGGGGTGACACTGTTATTAAGAAAAATGAGATTATATGGTTGATAAAGTAAGAATAAAGTAGGAAAGATTTAGAATATCCCAAACATTACTCAATTTGGTATGAAACTGATGGACAATCTACCCGGGGGTATCTTATCCGAGGGGTTATTGCGGGAATAACTTAGAGAGAAGTCAGAGTAAATAGGAGGAGAGAGAGTCGATTTTATTAAATGAACTCAGCCTGGTTTACAAGGAGAGTAATAAATGCGATGAGAGTACACGTGTCAGTAATCCAACGGCCGAAGGGTCACGTCAATCGGGTGGCACCGGCAGTGGCATGTTCACCGCATTGAATGCAGTAGGTGGATGTGACGTTGCATTAAATGCGGTGGTTGCTTGTCTCCAGAGGGAATCTTTGACGATTAAATGGTTGGCCGAAGGCTTCCCCTTCGGTCGAGGGCTCTGTGTAGCCGAAGGCTTCATGTAACCGAGGACCCCTGTGTAGCCGAAGGCCTTGTGTGACCGAAGGCTTGGTTCAGTCGAAGGCTTCTCTGATGCCGAGGGCTTGATAATGCCGAAGGCTCATGTTTTTCGCCGTTTTCTCCCGGCAGCTTCTTATGCCAAAGAAGGCTATCCTGTGAGTTTTGGAGCCTTCGGCCAAGGAGGCCGAAGGCACCCCAGTGTGTATTCTGGGCTACTTTGAGGCTTGGGCCGTTGTATTTGGGCCTGAGTTGTTTTCTGGGCTCAATGGACTTGTGTAGGAGAAGTAGGAGTCTATGGGCCGGGGGTTCCTGGGCCATATACTCCATCAGAAACAATCTTAATAATGAGATATATCTAAAAGAAAAGATGAAATAAACTTATCGAGATAGAAGATACTCTGTATATTGTAAATAAGAGTTGTTATATCATGGAAGCGGTGCACATTGAGCACCTTACTCCCAAGTCTAAAATCAAGCCATTTAATTTAAGTTTAACTTAAAATCGTGGATGAACAATAATAATTTTATTTCATCTTAATATTTTTGTGATGTAAATCCTTTGTTCCGAAATGTAACTTACATGATTTGAAATGTAATCTTAGTTAGCGGAAAATGTAAGTCGTACGCTGGAGTGCAACTCATTTACTCCTTGAGATGAAATGTAATCGCGTGTATTAAAGTATAACTTCAGGTAGTTGAAATGTAAATTGTGTTAATTGAAATGTAACTCGTTGAGATGTAAATTGTCTTAATACAAAGGTAACGTGGAAACATGTCAAAATGTAAACAACCTTAATTGGGAATGTAACTTTAGGCCATTCAGATGCAAATGACCTTTATACAGATGTAACTTCTGCCAAAGATATACGAATTATATAGCTACACCATCTTCACAAGCCTGTTTGATGTTTCTGCAATTGGCAAATGGAAAGCTCTTCACAACCCTATTTGATGTTTCTGCAATTGGTGAATGGAGAGCATGCCTGGAGATTGCACGCACATAATTGTTCCAGATAACTCTAGGGTTGGGTGGTGATCGATTCTGGCATCGGTATTGAAGGTTGTCAATCCCCACCGTTGTTCAATCGGCGATTAGAAACCCAATAACCACTTCTCCTCCACATCAACTCTCTGTCTTCGCTGGGAATATAGCCTTCACACCAGAGAGCGCCATTCATGACCGACCCTGCCTTTAGATAATTAGAACCATCGGCATCTCCCTTTGGTGGAAGCTCCGCAGCGAGTACGCCTGATCCTGTATCGATTCTCCGGATTTCACCCATTTGTCTTTGAATCCATCGCTATAATGATTTTTCAGCTTCTTCCATGGTCATCGTTGCGGGTGAAATAATAGGATGAAATTGAAATAAGAACAAAGTTGTGATATTTTTCTAGAGGGCAGATCGTATCAGGCCGGCCTGACGGAACCGCCGTCAGGTCAAGACCATTTGAGACCCTTTCCGGTGGATTTTTTTGATGAATTTTTTTGAACATGTTCCTCATCAAGTCTAGTTTATCCATACCAAATTTCAGCTAAACATTCAATCGGGAAGGCAGCAAAAAAATTCCCTACGAAAATTGTGCATTATATATACATAAACAGCGCAATTTTCATAGAGAATTTTTGGATTGCCTTCCCGTATTGAATTTTTAGCTGAAATTTGGTATGGATAAACTAAACTTAATGAGAATCATTCTAAAAAATTTCATCAAAAAATTTCACCTGAAAGAGCCTCTGATGGCCTCGGCTGGACGGCGGTTTCCATCAGGCCGGCCTGAGAGGATAGGAACTCATCTTTTTTAATTGTGAAACGATGCCTTTTTGAGATCTACATATTATAATTAGCGTATAAGTAAGATCTTCAAGTTCCATGCCTCCATGATTGACCAGTACTATTGCCACATGTTCTATTACAAAGTCAGGGCAGGGCCACTTCAGTTGTTTGGTAGTAATCGCGAGTAGAAGAGATTGTAACCATAAAAATTGACTTTGGTGTCCCAAATATGATTGCAATTTGTAATTAATAGAAATAATTACATAAATATGACCAAAATAAAGATGATTTACAAAAATATGATTATAGACTAGAGTAATAATGAAGTCATAGTAATTCATGTTCAAGTTTTGAGTTTAAGTTACCACAACACCACATTATAGTAATGAATAGTCATATTTATGTAAATGTGTTTTATTTTAGTAATATTCTTGTAAAAAACCCTTTGTAATATCATAAAAATAATGTAGGAAAATGAGATATGGCAAATAATAGAAAAGATCAGGTCCATCCGGAGGGAAGGGAGGC